TCTGAGGGATATCTATGCTACGGCCTCAATTGCATCCAACATTGTAGCTCATACAGATTCCATAACAGCTAAAGTCATGCAGTCACAGACTGACTGCACAGTAAACACCCTATATACTGCCAGAGGGCAGAGAGAGAGGGTAACTATGACCACACACACACAGATACCCTCCCATACACAGACCCACAGCAGCCTGTTTGTTTGTGTAAGTAATTGGCTCTGACAGAGTTGAGAACAGTCTATTTTTGTGAGGTGTGATTTGGTGGCGGAACAAACACGACCCCCTCACCCCACCCCTTTGTCCCGACTGTTTGGACCACTGTCAGTGGACGGAGCCGTCGTTACTCTGCTTATTGTTTCTGCAGATGTATGTATTAAAGCTCACTTCAATGGTGAGGTTCTCTTCTCGACCAGAGTTAACTCTGTGTTTTTGTTCTTAGCTGGACAGACTGCAGCCTTTACTTTGTCTTTAGATAAGTTTAATTAAGGACATTTGTCAATAATGAGACTGAAGTTTGAGCATGAAAAGCTTCAAGAAGATGGTTTCAATAGCCAAAGCAAATTTAATGAAAAAAAATAGCAATAATTTAAAGGTTTATTTTTTGCAGTTTGAATTCTTTATAACAAAATAAAAAATATTACAAAATAATCATATCAACCGTTAACAAAATAAAAAATATTACAAAATAAATTTTGTCATAAAAACAGTTGACATATCAACCGTTTTTATTACAAAATGTATTTTGTCATGGCCTTACTATTTTAACACAGTCATTGTTGATTACCTCCTGTTGGTCAATGAGTTCTTGAATTTTTTTTTTTTTTTTTTAAAGAAAAGAAGGACTTATCTGTCAATTTGGAATTAATAATTTATATTGTTACATTATTGTAGTAATATAATATAATATATTTATATTGTTATTATTACTTTGTTCAGAGTATGAGAAGAGTACGGCAGAAGTATACATACATTCCCTTTGTGTTTTCTAAGTCTAACAAAGTACTAGTAGTAGCAATAACACGTAGTGAACCCAGATCAAAGAAAGGGAAAAACAGTCCAACAGAGAGGGAGGAGAGGAAATCATTCACAGGAGAACAGGAGTTTTACAGCCCTCCTGCTCCAGCGGCAGATAACCATTGACAGAGGCTGTAAATCAGTGTGAAACTGCTGCTGTTGCTGCGTCTGTTTCTCCGGACACAGTTATTATTCAAGCTCTGGGTAAACAAACAGGAGGAAGAGTTATGTGCACACAAATCTGGAGTTTTCACTGTGGCGTCATTAATCGGCTGACTGACCTGACGCTGGGCTCCAGGACTGAGAAAACAGACCCTGAAGACCTTGAGGTCGCAGCCTCAGTGCAACAGGAGTCCTGAGAAAAGTTACTGTACACGATTGAGGAACTGAGTCGTTGGACTGCTAAACCACTGATTTTTTAAGAACTTTATCTACACTTTGACACTGAAGTAACGTCTTCAGTTCCTGAAGAGCTCGCCTCAGTCGTATTTCTAGTTTAAGGACTTGCAAAGTCCGTCTTCCAGGGTTTTCCAGCACTTTACAGCTGTGATGATTTATAATAGTAGTACGCTAGTACACACTAGGACTAGAGCAACATGGCTGACGTGTTTGGCATCATTGAAATTGCTTTTAATTGCAACCATTCATTAGATATCTTTAGGTTATATAACAATACATTTTTGTATACACATTAGCAAACGTTTTATATATTTAGATGCTGTGGTACATGGGTGCCCAATAAGTAGATTGAGGATCTACCTGTATGTTGCAAAGTGCTGCTAGATCATAAGCAATTACAATACATAATCAACAATATAT